GTCTACTTCTACGACTCCCCCCCGCTCAACTATGGTTTAAAGATGGCAAAAAGTGATCCCCCCACCACTCTCCCGTCTACAAAGAGTGGTAGTGGAACTAATTTCCAAGCCAAATCAACCAAAACAAAAAAAAAACCTGATAAAAAAGCAAGAGGTTAAAATTTCAGTTATTGGTTCTATCAAGGTTAATTTTGGAGGATAATAAGAAATATGAATGGCTGATGAAGTTCGACAAGAAAATGTACCTGAATCTCTGAAATCATCGAATGGCTGTGAATCTCCAGTGGCTTCAGAGACTGTAGTAAAGAGCTTTTTTAATAATTAATGTTCACAATAAAGGTACAGAGAAAAGTCACTTAATGCTCTCATGGAAACTTGGTGCCATGTGATGGTAATAGCACAAGACATAATAATAATAAAGTTTAAACTTGCTCAAAGTTAACAAGAGCGTAGCTCATCATACTCCAAACATAAAGAACAATTGTGGTAAATGGTCTTTACAATCATTCCAATGAAGTAAATTATAAAGGTTAAGAAATTTCATGAAGCTGTAGATGTGAACTGGTCACATCCAGTCCAGCAGCTCACCAACTTTTCAATTTTGCTGGCTGCAGTAACAGTTGCTCGGTAGGTGGATATCAGTTTAAGTACTGTAATGCCAGTTTGGATTTATATTCTCTCAACCTGGAGCAGCCAGGCTGTATGAAATGTACATCAAGATCAGTGTGCCAAGTGATCGAAGGTTTTGTCCTTTTTTTTATTCATGTATACCTAAAATATTCGTAGTGTTGAGAAATTTAGTATTATAATTAAAATAACCATGAAGATTTTACAAAATAATTTAGGGAGCTGGTGGAACGCATCCAGCTAGAATTATTATGATTTGCTATGATTGTGAAAAAATAATAATTAACTTTGCTGACAAGATGTTTTAGAACGACAGCAACTGTTTGATTAGCAATCCCGTTGAATACAAAGGTCCTGTGAGAGCACTGGACTTTAATCCATTTCAGTCTCATTTTCTAGCTACTGGTGCGACAGATAGTGACATTATCACTTTGTATATTAATTGGACAAATAAGTTTATGTCTCCTAGTTCCAAAAAAATTTACCACCTGAGGATGGACTAGATAAATCATGGAATACACAAGGTACTTTACTTGGCAACATTTTTTTTTACATATTCATAATTGACATTAGAGCATATTGTTGTTTACAGTGCAACACATTCTTGCTTCAAAATTTCACAGCATTCTGTCATTTGAAGAAGAATGAAGCTATGGTAATACTCACCGATGCCAATTCAAGAACCTCTATAAGTGTCACATCGCGAGTTGATACGAATTATAATACAACTAAAACTATCTGTCTACTAAAATTCAGATAAGACATATTATAAATATGACAAGAGGAGCTTGTATGTCATTTATGTGTGCGCGTGTGTGTATTAGCTTTAAGGTGAATGCTTCATAACATGACATAGAATACGGCCAGCCTTATTGTAAAAATTCATGTATGTACGAATTAGTAGTTTCTTGCTCATTAATTGTTTAATTTTAATAATGTTTACTAATTAAAAATTTGTAACGCACACATTACTTTATCATATTCGAAATTGATTATAAAATCCTAAGAAAGATAAACTTCGAAATTGTAAACTTACTGTTACAATTGAACTTGTGTTTTGGCGTTCTTATATTGCTGAAACGAGCTTTTACCATCACTGATCCAAAAACTCAATCGCACTTGTCAGAAAATGCAATTGGTACTGTTGTATTGTTATTTCCTGATATGTAAAAATATAATATGTAACATTATCATGCAACTGTCAACGCAGTCTGCAAGAACATCACTCATTGGTTGACCTTATTTAACCAAAAGCCTCTTTTACTCGCTCTGATGGTATAAAAATGCACCATTAAGAGGAAAAAGTGCTTTTTTCACGACAGTCACCTGTCCTCTAAAGTTTTAGTCAACTCTTGACTCCTGCGACTTGTTAGTACCTTATACACGTAAGGTATAACGTGTTGGCTGAGGCAACTCAAGTGCTTTTCGAGAACATCAAAAGTATCGGACTACGATAAGGAGCGAGGTACGGCAAAAGAGGCCTGCCGAAATAGATTCTGGCGATAGCAGCAGAAGCTGAAATCGCTACATCCTACTGTCTACGAACTCGTTTGTATAGTTTAACGAAATACTGACGGTTACAGCACGAAGCATTAGGAATTTTTGAAGTAGCAGTAAAATAGTTAGTGATAGATGTAAGTAAAATACCAGTAATAAAATTTACGTTGAACCTTGTTATAGTGACCCAATTAAATTGTATTTTAAAGAACAAATTATTATTTAATTGCTTTAATAAAGAAATACATTTATTACGCATATTATTTAATTAAAGATCATTATTTAATAAGAAAATAAAAGAACAAATAAATCTCACAAGCTTAATTGTAAGAACCCCACGATAAAATAAAACAAACTTAAATAAAACAGTTTAGACCTCACTCTGAATCAGTCTGGTCATAACAAATTGTCATTTCTTGTGTGTTCTTCAAATCTTAGTTTTGTTNAATAAATAAATTAAAATGCCTGGAAATAGTGGAGAAAAGACATCAGTGGACGACACTTTTAGACAACAGTTTTTAAATGTTTTACAGGGATTATGTACGACTAATTTATTAATGTGCATAAATGAAGTATTTTAACACATACCTCTTTATGACGGATACTCGACTCCCTTAAAAGACTTTTTACAAGATGTAGAAAATGGACGAACTCTAATAACAGCTACTTAAAAACCTATGTACCTTCACACAGTTATTTCTAGACTCTAAGGCAAAGCTCGAGAGAGTTTAGTAGGTTCTACTTTTGCATCAATCGATCAGTTAAAAAAACATCTGAAACAAGAATTTTCACTAACCAAATCATATCATGTATACATGGCAGAACTTTTAAATACTACAATAAAACAAAACTAAGCAGTTCGAAATTTTTATCATAAAACAATTTCTCTTACAGAAACAACCTTAACAGCCCTTTTGACCGAATTGAATGATGAGAAACTCAAGACAACACAAAAACCACAACTTAAAAATTTAGCGTTACAAACGTTTAGTAATGGTTTACCTGACTCGTGGAAATTAAGTATAGCACTTTTAAAGCCCAAAGATGTCCATAAAGCTTTAAAATCTGCTTTACTTACTCAACTCACTTGCCCACAAGTATACAATCAGGCCAAGTACGTTTACAAGGCCGTACCCATGACGTCTACTTCTACGACTCCTGAATCTTCGGTACCAAACGTTACTAAAATTCCTGTTCCTGTCCCTACTCAGTTCGACCACCAAAAAAAATTTGTCAGTTTTAATGACCCATTGACACACAATAAAAATTCTTTCCTGCATACCAACGATAAAAATAATGTCAAGATGACTCAATAAAAATTCGACGAGTATGGTCGAAAAATTTTACATCCCACACTTAGCTATGCACCTCAACGACGATCAAGTACCCTGCCACCAAGCCGTACACCACCACTACTCTGGAATAATCAACCTAATAACTATTGTTACCCTCCAAATTTCCAAGAATTTACATATTTTCAACCACCACCCATTTATCCACCTTACTACCCACAAATGTATTATCCCTATTCTCATACTCAAGGCTATGCTTACCATCAACAAGCTCCATTTTAATACTACAACTAAAAACAGTACTAAAATTATAATCAAGAACGATACCAAGACTCTCGCCCTAACTCTTCAAAAAACGAGAATGAGACTCGCCAGTTGGACAAGAATGCGAGTTTGAATCCGATGAAGCGTCCGAAATCAATAATGGCAATGAAATTTACAGAGCCTTTCGAGCAAGAACAATAGGAAATTCACCATTAGTTGAATTGCGTTGCGAAACATTCAGAAAAAATTCAGAAATTTTTATATTAGATTCAGGCGCCGAAGTCAAAGTCATCAGTTATAACGCATTAAAAAACGGTACAAAAATTAATTGTTAAAATGCATTTGAATTAGAAGGAATAGCCCCACAGCGAATATACACTCTAGGTACCGTAACGCTAAATTTGTATTATACGGATCACGATTTTCACGTTATGAGTCCAGAATCGCCAATAAATAATGTATGTATTTTAGGAGATCCGTTCTTTACGCGAGAAAACGCTAGAAACGATTACGGATTACGGATAAATTAATTAAAAATAAGAAAAACCCTTAATATTAAAAACGAAACCAAATTTCGAATTAATTTGTGAAAAATTTATTTTTCCATTTTACGATGAAGATAAAATACCCACACCCCCACGCGATACTATTTATTATAATCCTCAAGGATTTAAAATAAATAAAAACAGAAGTTATCATTTATCAGCCAGAACAAGAGTAGCTATTAAATTACCGACTAGAAACAAGATCACCGGCCATGCGTATCTTCGTAAGATTACTACCGTACCCGGAGTATATATAGGCGAGGCAGTAGTAGATTGCAAAGAAGGTCACTGTTATACAATAGCTATAAACACAATAGATAAGCCGACAAAAATAGAAATACCCGCGCAAGAACTTGAGGCTTTTGATGTCATGGAATCTGAAGACTTTTTCGATACAGACTTCGAAGAAGACGATTTAAACAATATAAAAGATCGCATTAAATTTATAATGGATAAGATAATAGGATCTCATCACTTAAAAGCTGGTTTATCAGAAATAAGAAAAATTGTAGAAAAATACGCTCACTTATGTTACATTCCAGGCAACCCGGCTCCTCATACTTCTATTATGACACATAAAATGCCTACGATAAACGACCACCCTGTATATGTCAAAATATACCGCTACCCCTTATCATTACACCAAGAAATTACAACTCAAATAGAAAAATTTTTAGCAGCCCTACAATCATAAAATCAAACAGCCCTTACAGCAGTCCTCTCTGGATAATACCCAAAAAACAAGGACCTAATGGAACAAAAAGATACAGATTAGTAACGGATTACCGTAAACTAAACGAAAAAAACCATCCCTGATGCTTACCCACTACCAAACATTACTGAAATATTAGAGCAAATCAGAGGCTCAAATTATTTCTCCATTTTTGATCTAGCCAGTAGATTTCGTCAAATAGAAGTTGATCCTGCCGATACACATAAAACTGCTTTTAGCACACCTAACGGTCATGATGAATGTGTAGGAATGCCATTTGGACTATGCAATGCACCTGCAACATTTCAACGACTAATGGACGTAATTTTATCAGGACTGCAAGGCATAGAGCTATTTGTATTTCTTGATAACATAAGGTATGTTCAAAAACTTTGAAAGATCATGTGACAAAAATTACTCATTTATTTGAAAAACTTTCGAAATCAAAATTAAAATTACAACCTTAGAAATGTAAATTATCAATGCCCAAAGTCACTTATTTAGGACATAAAATAAGAAGCTACGGAGTCAAACGAGATTAAAAAATATACTACAAGCTGTTGAGAAATATCCGAAACCAAAAAATCAAACGAATGTTAGACAGTTTTTAGGATTTGCGAACTATTACCGTCGTTTTGTCAAAAATTTCTCAAAAATTGCAGAGCCTTTAACGAAAAGGAAAGAAATTTGAGTGGACAGATACTCAGCAAAAAAACTTTGAAGAGTTAAGGAGAATATTATGAAGGCATCTGTGTTAGCTTGCGTTGATTTGCATAAGCCATTCATATTAACAACAGACGCATCTTTTATAGCTATTGGGGTAGTATTAAGCTAAGGAGAACCAGAAAAAGACCGCCCAATTGCGTATATGTCAAAAACTCTAAATAACGCTAAAAGAAATTATTCTACAACCAAAAAAGAATGCTTAGCAGTACTTGTAGCAGTCCAATATTTTCGACATTACTTATATAACAGGAAATTTACGGTTTACGGAGATCATGAACCACTGTCCTGGATTGAGTCTATGAAAGATCCTATGAGTAGGCTAAGAAGATAGAGAGCAAGACTTCGAGGTTATAGCTATACTTATGAGTACAAACCTGGTAGACTCAATACAAACGCGGACGCCTTATCAAGAAATCCAATAGAATGGAATGAAGATGAAAGTGATAGAGATAATTCTTCGGACGAAGAAATATTTTTTAAAGCTCGTTTGCTACCTATAAAACCTAAACAAACTAAAACTTCGATAGCTCGCCAAATTATGTCAAAAACCAATCTTATCTTATTCATCTCATCCCGATACCATTGAAAGCATAAAATCAGCACCTAAAGTTAGAAAAAAAAAACCTAAAGATACACTTTTAAAAGTACCTCGGGGTATGAAAGGCAGACAGGGTGAATTAAATGCACCTACAATAGCGGACGGATTAAAAGCGAGACAAAGAAAAGAAACACCAAGAGCTCAATTACAAGACTCGTCATCCGAACCCGACACCACGTCTACTTCACAGTTTAGCGACCCACAATCCAACGCGCTAATACCATTACAAGAGCAATTATTTATGCCAAGCTAAATAAATGCACTTGAATAAAAGACCCCTCAGAATGTAATGGAAAACTCAAGTGACGAAAATTCAGAAATCAGTGAAATTGAAAAAATAATCGAAAAATCAGGTTTTTCACCAAGACGAACTTAATATTCCAATCAAACCAAGTATTTCCCGATCCGATGACGTAAATTAAAACTCTGTAACATTTTAACAAGATGAAGACTCTACTTCTTCTGATGAAGAAACTTTAAATTTAACTACAATAAAACCAAAATTTCAATCTACTTTTCAACGCTCCGTACAAGATCAAGTAAACAATACAAATAAAAGTGAAGAGCAGTTATCCGATTCAAGAAATAACACTTACATTAATAAAGATTGCGACAAAGAATTTGTTAAAAAATGGAATCAAAACTCATTATGGTGGGATGGTTCCGATGAAAAAAATAAAATACGAAGTAACAGCATTCTTGGAGAAATACAATCTTTACCTACATCCTCTACCAAACGTCATGCAGCAGTTACTTAAATCAAGAACAAAAAAATTCACTTCAATCGTCACCTCAAAATTCAATTTCTCCTACTTTAGTAAATGAATGGATCGATGAAACAATGAACGAATTTAGTGCAAACGGAAATCCCGTAAGAGCAAAATCTCCAATTAAATCACACAGAAATAGTCCTACCAAAAATGAATTACAAAACTTTAATTATGAATTGTACAGAAGAATTTTATCACCTATAGAACAAAATAGTGATAAAGAAAGAGACGAAAATCCTTCTCAATCGGAAAACATAGAAAATAAAATTGATTACGATACCAAGAAAACTTCCAATCAAAGTATTTTACTAAAAACAAGCCATGCAGCAGCATTAGAACCCACACAGCAAAATTGGAACTTGGCTCGTAGCGAAAAAGTAACAAGAAATATGAGTCCCGTTAGAAATCCCTCAAATATGACCTAAGGAACAAATAAATTTACATTTTTATGTACTCGTAAAAATTTAACTTACACAAAAGATAACTACATCCATTTTATTACTGAAACTGTAGATTTGAAATCAATAAACAATTAACTACTATTAGATATAGGAGCAATATCAAAAAAAGAATTATCAAATGTTTAACCAAAATTGGGAGACGTTACTACTACAAAAAACCGAAATCGCTACATATTTTCACGAGTCGTGAACAAAAGCTTTACTTATAAAATAAAACCTAGCATTCTACGAAACTGCTTAAAAAATCTTGCAGATGCAATATCAGTAAAGGAAGTTATCACCGCTCGTATTTCTAGGAAAGGTGAACTCACCGATAACCTCCCAAGAGGAAAAATGCTATCAATTTTTAACGAAGAGTTGTGTCACCTTCCCCTTACAGTAAAAATTTTTTTTGGTGCATATTCTTATCCAACCCTAGAAGACAGAAAGTAAAAATTAGTTGAAAGTCATACTAGTTTATCCGGAGGTCATAGTGGAGTAGTAAAAACTTATAGACTAATGAGAGAAAAATATTATTGGAAAGGAATGCACAACGAAATTGCTGAATACATACAAAAATGTAAAATTTGCCAGGAACAAAAATTAGTCCACACTAAAACTAGAGAACCTATGGTAATTACAGACACACCATCAGGAGTATTTAACAAGGTCGCAATAGATACAGTGGGCCCTTTCCAACAAAGTACATCTAGAAAGAAGCTCATTTTAACAATGCAATGCTTACTTACAAAATTTTTTATTGCAGTTCCTGTTCCAAATATACAAGCAATAACTATTGCCGATGTGTTATCAAGATATTTTATTTCCACTTTCAACATTCCTAGAATTATTCTCAGTGACAGATCAAAAAGTTTCATTAATCAAGTATTAACAGAAGTATCAAAAATCTATGGATTCCGTTTAGTTCTCACTAGGGCATATCACCCACAATCAAATGGTTCATTAGAGATAAGCCACGCTATGTTAAATAATTTCTTGAGAACTAACGCTAAAAACAAAAATGATTGGGATGAAATGGTTCCTTTTGCAATGCATGAGTATAATACTTCAGTTCATCAACAACAGGCCTCACGCCTTTCGAACTTGTCTTTGGTAGACAGGCACGTTCCCCAAATCCACTTCCAGACGAATTCAAACGAGAAACATAGAGTTCATATGCTAATGACCTTGCACGCTGTTTACATACAATACAAGAAATAGCTCGTGACAGACTTAAAATATCAAAACAAAATACAAGAGCTCCTTATGACAATAAGTCAAAACCACAGAACTTGGAAGTTGGAATGACAGTCTATGTACTCAAAAAACGGAAAATTAGACAGATTTTATAACGGAATTTTAAAAATTAAAAAAATACATAGTAATAATATCGTCATATTAAAATCAGAAAATGGTAGAATAATTAACAAACACATTGACGAAGTAAAACGTTGCTACCCATAAAAAAAAAAATAATAATAATAAAAATTTATTTTTGTTGCAGATTGATCCGATCAATATTTTGACTAAAAACATTGCCTTTCTGCTTCTGCTAACACTAAGGCGTGGTATAATAAAAAGTAAGGAAGAGATACTTGCAAAACCTTACGACAACATGCTTTTAGTAATTAATCCAGGTATATATTATGAATACACTAACGAAGTCAGACTAATTCGTATCGAACGGCACGTTACTATTACGTTAAATTTTCGTAGCATTGAAGACCAAACCTAATTATATCATGAACAACTAGATACTATATTTGAACAGTGTACTAGAGTACTTGAAAATCAAGAGTGCAAAAATTTAATACCAAGATACACGTTAAATAATATGATTCGTTTAACAAAATCAACATACGAAGATTTAAAACTATTTTTCGCACCTGAAATACAAATACATAGTAAATAAATAAACTCTAACAATGTAGTAAAAGTTATCCCTAGCCACATGATTATGAGACAAGCACGACTAGAATTCGTGGGGTGGATTTCGAAAAAATTATTTGGATCTATGGATACGGATGATCGAGATCATATAAATGTGGATGTATATAATCTTTACAACTCTACACAAACAATATCATACTTAGGAGCAAAACAGACTCATATTGTACGCTTAAATCTCGAAAAATTTGTATAGAATTAGAGGAAAATGTAAGACATAATGAAAAAGTTATGAAAAATTTGGAAAGTTTAACCAAAGAAGCATGCCAATTAGATAATAATAACAGAAAAATTGAGTATAAAATAAAAGTATTAGAATAGACTCACTCTTCCAAGAAATCTCTATTTTTCATACTATATTCTTACAAAACGCTTATTAGTGCGGTGGGAATCACGTCACAAGGACACCTACATCTGCTAATAATACGAAACAAACAACTATCAAAAATTTGTGACTAAATTAATCCATACAAAAAAGAGCATACGCTACCATGGGACGATTCAACCGTAACACTTGAACACCTGCACGCACTGTCCACAACAAACGCAGTAATAATAAAATGTAGATTAGTAGTTAAACTTAGTTTCCCATTAATAGGTAAAGAACAATTCAGTTGTTATGCCATGCACTCGATTCCAGTTACAGTAAATTTACACTCAGATTTAAAAGGATATGTCAGCATTGAGCCCCGATGTAGTAACCTGATCGTTAGCAATAAGCTTCAAAATTTTTTTCCTTACCACCAAAAAATTTTAAATAATTACATTAAAGATAAGAATGTTTTGTATTGCTGACCAGATATGCCTATTTATGAAAATAATATCAATAGTCCTCGCGAACTCCCTTTATTTATAAACGTATCCACAGAAGCATTAAGAACTTGTCAAGTAGCATTATATGAGTCAACTGAAATTTATTGGATAAGACTAAAAACCACTGAACAATGGTAATATTCTGCACAAAATACTACCGTAATACAAGTATTGTGTGGAAATAATCCTTCAATCACACAACCAACTGAAATTAAAATACAAGGTACGAGAATACTAACGATCAACAGTAACTGTATTGCTCATGCTCCCGGCTACACCATATATGGAGTTACAACACTAGAATTGACAGAGACTTACTACTATAGATCAGAGCTTTCCTACAGTTCAGCAAATTTATTGAGCCTCCCTGATATCAAAACAATCAAAATTGGCAATAAATACTTCACTCTTGATCTATAAGAGGAGGAAAAAACTGAAATAAATAAATGGGCAGAATCAAATGATGCAATAGGGTTAACAAGAATGGCAGAAACCTTAGAGAATATAGCGATAAAAAAAAACAAGTTAACTATCGAAATACAGCAATAGTTTTTGGAAGCCTAATAGTAAATTTACTTGTTTTATTAGTCATTGCCTTGATTTTATTAAGTTGCAATTTAAAATTGAAAAAAAAATCCACTAATTTACTACGATTTGTATATAGTGCTCAACCAAGTAGATCAAATGAGCCTCAAATTTTTATAACACAACATAATTCTACGAAAAAAAAACGAAGAATGAAAAAACTCCTGCACCACTAGTTCCCAAAACGACAGATGATTATTTGCCAATACCAGGCCATTATTAAATTATTAAATGTTTCTAAAAAAAAATATATATATATATATACATATATATGTATATAGTAAAATGTTTTACTCTTGAATTTCATAATTACACATTATTAGCATTATATATAATTTTCAGAAGAACTTTCAATATTTAATCTCAAGCCAAGAAAGTCTACAAGAAAATCAACAGTAAAAAAAAAGAAAAAAAAAAATTAATCACATCGCTCCTCTCCTCTTCCTTTACCTAATCTTCGGTAATGCTAAACCACTATCCTACAGTATAAATAAACGTCATTACTACTATATGAACTGCATAATACTAGAGAATATTCTACCTACACCATAAAAATAATACTTTAATCATTAAACTAACAAAGCAAAAACGTATGGGTAAAACACACAGCATAATTAATACCTAACTCAACAACTTGATACCTGGACTGCTTTACGATAAAAGCAAGAGTATAGAATGATTGATTGATCATTTTTCTAAAAAAAAAAAATTTATAAAACAAATAAACAGCAAAAAATAAATCAATAAAATTAACATCTATTGCAATAACTCGTCTCATCCGCTCGTATGAATTCTCGATCGATCTGTAGTTGCCGAGGGCAGCAACAATCTAAGAACGGGGTGTTACATCCCGAGTTGATACGAAGTATATAATAACTCAAAACTATCCGTCCATAAAAATTCAGATAAGATGTATTATAAATATGATAAGAGGAGCTTGTATGTCGCTTATGTATGCACGTGTGTGTATTAGCTTCCAGGCGAATGCTTCATCATATGCTGACATAGAATACGGCCAGACTCATTGTAAAAATGTATGTATGTATGAATAAATAGTTACTTGCTCATTAATTGTTTTAATTTAATAATGTATACTAGTTAAAAATTTGTAACTCACACTTTACTTTATTATGTTCGAAATTAATTGTTAAATCCCCAGAAGAATTAATTTTGAAATTGTAAACTTACTGTCACAAATAAACTTGTATTGGGCGTTCTTATATTGCTGAAACGAGCTTTCATCAACACTGACCCACAAACTCAATCGCACTAGTCAGAAAATGCAATTGGTACTGTTGTATTGTTATTTCCTGATATGTAAAATTCTAACATGTAAAATTATCATGCAACTGTCAACGCAGTCTGCAAGAACATTAAGCATTGGTTAAACTAATTCAACCAAAGGCCTCTTTTACTCACTTTGATGCTATAAAAACGCACCATCAAGAGAAAAAAGTGCTCTCTTTACGTCTGTCACCTGTCATCTAAAGTTTAAGTAAACTCTTGACTCTCGCGACTTGTTAGTACCTTATACACGTAAGGTATAACGTGTTGACTGAGGGAACTTAAGTGCGTATCGAGAACATCAAAAGTATCGGACTACGCTAAGGAGCGAGGTACAGCAAAGGAGGCCCGCCGAAATAGATTTTGGCGATAGCAGCAGAAGCTAAGATCGCAACATCCTACTGTCTACGAACTCGTTTGTATAGTTTAAGGAAATACTGACGATTATAGTACGAAGCATTAGGAATTTCTGAAGCAGCAGTAAAATAGTCAGAGATAGATGTTACTAAAATATCAGTAATAAAATTTACGTTGAACCTTGTTATAGTGACCCAATTACATTGTATTTGAAAGAACAAATTATTATTAAATTGCTTTAATAAAGAAATATATTCATTACCCATATTATTTAGTTAAAGATCATTATTTAATGAGAAAATAAAAGAACTAATACAGCTCACGAGCTCAATTGTAAGAACCCCACGATAAAATAAAACACACTTAAATGAAACAGTTAAGACCTTACTCTGATTATATCTGGTCATAACATAAGCATTATCATTAGGTATTTTAACATAATAATTCTTTGGCTTTCCCCTGCGGAAGTGGGTGGCCAATGTCCGCGAGCTGCTCGACGATCTGCCTGACGACGTCCGCTTACGTTCGACCTGGGAGCAGCTCAGCGCTGAAGGCCTCGTCAGCGAGCTCGAAGTCAAGTGGGATCCACCGTCGGACTGCTTTCAGTTGACGCCTCCACCACTCCAGTCGCAGAGCACAAAGCGGACGATGCTCGCGGGTCTGTTCGACCCATGCGGCTGGCTCGCGCCGATCGTGTTGAATGCCAAGCTCTTGCTCCAGGATCTCTGGCGCACCAGACTGGGATGGGACGAGCCTGCGCCGATCTCAATGACTCGCCGAGGGGCAGAATTTACCGCCGAGCTCCAGGCCATCTCCACCTTCACCTTACCGCGCTGGATCGGAGTTGGGCCTCCTTCCGAGCTTCACCTGCACGGCTTTTCGGACGCCAGTCGCCGCGCGATGGCAGCCATCATCTACTCTCGCCTCGTGCCCGGGGCTGGGCCGGCGCTCTGCCACATTCTTCTGGCTCGGACAAAGCTCTCGCCGATTCGCTCGCTCAAGCCGGTGCCAGAGACATCCGCGCGCATGACGATTCCGCGCCTCGAGCTCCGCGCCGCACTGATTGCCGCCAAGCTCCTGCGGACCGCTGCCGACGAGCTACGCGTACCTGTCGACCGCTGTCACGCATGGTGCGACTCACAGATCGTTCTGCACTGGCTGCGTTCCGACAGGCCAACCAACAACGTGCTGATCGACAACTATGTCGCCCAAATCCAGGAAATGCTGCCTTCGAGTGTCTGGCGATACGTGCCGACCCAGTCAAATCCAGCCGACCTCGTGACCAGAGGTGCCGACATGACCGGCCTTCGCTCGCAGCGCACTTGGTGGGAGGGCCCCGCTTGGCTCGCCGAGGACGTCGACTCGTGGCATCTAGACCCGCTCCCCGCACCGAACCAGCATTCATCCATCTGCTGCGTAGTGCAGCAGCTTGACGCCAGCTACGTCGAGCAATTCTCCAACTTACGCATGCTACTAAGCTTCCTCGTACGCATTCGTCGATTCGTCCGGAGCCACTTGGGCAGGGGCCCCGTGCTTTCGGTCGCTTCACCTCTTACGCCGACCGAACTCCACGACGCTTTTCTCGCGTGTGTAGGCCTCAGCAAGGAGAGATCATTCTCGGACGACCTCCAGTGTCTTCGACGGGGCAAACGTTTGCGGAAGACGAACCCATTGGTACCGTTAGCAGCCTTCCTCGATGACGATGGGATTCTGCGCGTTGGCGGGCGGCTCGAGCATTCAACGAGGAGCGGCACCCGCCAATTCTCAGCGGCGCCTCTTCCCTCGCTTCCATGGTCATCGCCTGGGCGCACTCTCGGGTGCTGCACGGTGGATACTGTGTCACCAGTGCCTACGTCTGTAAGCGCGCTTGGCTCCTCGGTGGGCCCTGGCGGATCAAGGCTCACCTCCGCAGGTGCGTCGTCTGCATCCGGCTGCGAGCGCGACCGGCGACTCAACTCATGATCCCACTGCCGTCGTCTCGAGTCTCCCCTTCTCGTGCCTTTGCCTGCACCGGAGTGGACTACGCCGGCCCTTTCCATGTACTCTCCGCCAGAGGACGAGAAGTCCGGACCACGAAAGGCTACATCGCCGTTTTCGTGTGCCTCGCCACCAAGGTCCTGCACCTGGAGCTGGTTGGCAATCTCTCGGCTGCGTCCTTCTTGGGCGCCCTCCACCGATTCGCTGGACGCCGCGGTCGGCCCGGTGAGATATGGAGCGACAACGCGACTTGCTTCCGCCGCGCTGATGTTGAGCTGCGCGATGCCTTGCTGACAGCCGAGCTGGACTGGGGATTGGTCGCGGGCTCTCTCGCCGATCAAGGAATTGCTTGGAAGTTCATTCCACCGGGTGCTCCTCACTTCGGTGGCTTGTGGGAGGCCGCCGTCAAGTCAACCAAAAGTCACCTCCAGCGCGTCATGGGGTCACGCCATCTCACCTACGAGGAATTTTCCACGGTGCTCGTTGGCATCAAGATGGTCTTAAATAGCTGACCACTGACACCGATATCTGGAGACACTGGAGACCTCGATATTCTCACCCCAGGGCACTTCCTTGTCGGTGGCCCTCTCAACTCCATCGTTCTGCCCAGCCCCCCTGCGGAGAGCTTGGATGCGCTCGACCACTGGGAGCTCGTTCGGGGGGTCTGCGCCCAGTTTTGGTCTCGCTGGAGCCGAGAATACCTCAACACACTCCAACAGCGGTCAAAATGGACTACTCCTCGCCGGAACTTCATCGTCAGCGATGTGGTCGTCCTCCTCGACGCTACACTTCTGCAGTCCAGCGGCCGATGGCCGATCGGCCGCGTCATCAGCGTCCACCCAGGAGCCGACGGCTTTGTCCGCGCTGCTACCCTCAAGACGGCGACTGGCGTGTACAAGCGATCCATCACCAAGATGGTCTTGCTGCCTGTGTCAGCACCTCCCGCGGCTCCGCCGCCTCCAGAAGACTCCCTGACCAACCCCGGTTTGGCGGGCGGCACGTAGTTCTTCGATCCAGGATCGAGGCAGGCGGATTGTTTGGTTTCGCGCCCAAGCGCGACAGCCGAGCGAGGCGCTGCGTGCACTTCCGCCATGCTCATGGGCTTCCGCCTTGCCGGAAGCCACCTTTGCGTTCGGGCACTTGAGCACTGCTCTCCGAGATGACCAGACGCTTGTCCCGCTCACACTCACGACGCCTCTCACGCTGTAATCAACCTGCTTGTACAATATCAAATAAAGTGTTTTACCAAACAAAAGGATTAAACTCTTACTATTGAGCCGCGGAATTTTAAATTTGCAACCACACCGTGAAAATATTCTAAAACCATCGAAGGAAAGTAATATCAATTGCCTAAAATCCTTATGATTTGAATCTTCTTAGTTATGCAAAGGACAATGGAATTCTCTCTTGGAATCCTAATTTCGATGTTCCAGTACGTAGTAGTTAAATTTTTCTCGCAACTCTGTTTTTTATTATGTGATGCTTATTTTTTAACAAATCTCATTTTACGGTAGTAATACTGTTGGCTGATTGGCTCAAACAAATCGTGGAAACTTAAATCTGTCTTAGAGCCCTAGATGGGCTTGCTTGGTTGTGAGTACTACTTTATATGGTCAGGCAATAGTGTACTCTCTGAAAGGTGGAGCTGACCATTGATCTGCTGAAACGTTGAATGAAATGTTGATTTATTTTCTGGCATGGACCCATTCCCACAAGTGTCACCGATGATGCAAACAGAAGTATATTGTAAAAATAATGCTGTAGAGTCCCCAGTCTATGGTTTAATGGTAGCTAACTATGCGAATAATACCATAGTAGAAGGTATACCTTTTATTTCACTAACAATGACAGTTGGAAACAAAACTAAATTAGTACCCAAATTAAATAATATACTAATTAAGTAAGACTACACAGCTGAAATTAATGATCAAACTGCTTAATTCCGACCACTCCAATAATTGTAATTCAAATGCTTCCAACTAGTGTTTTCGTAATTTATGTAGCTTCACAAGCTTCCAAAGTAATATTTTGTAGCTTGCTATACATACCAATATATTCAACGTTTTAGCAATCAATACAGTTATTGCGCGAAAATTGTTAAATTACTTGAAAAAAGTAAACATTTGCAATTGATAAAATTGTTAAAGAGATGCTACATTTAAAAATTTAAGTATAAGTTACATTTCAAAATTTTTACAAATTGGAGTTAATTTTTTTTTTTTAAATAACGAACATTATATTACACCAGGATCTGTCCTTTTATCCTTTTTTTACGATATTTTCTATTTGATTAAATTTTTCTTTGAGCTCATCAATAGAGAAAACATTAATCATACACAACCTTAAATATCAAAAGAAAATTGCAAAATCTACACCTATAGAAATGATGTAAAGACAAAGACAAAAATATTTTAAGAGTAAATAAAAATAGAGAGGTAAATATAGAGATGTATAAGAAGGTACGTTGATTTATTAGATTATTAATTCGTTTATTTACTATACATCAGTTATTAATCAATTTTTTATTCATTTTTTTTTTTATTTAATGATTTTACTTTAGTAAACGATTTTTTTCCGTCACATTTTTCACAGTTAATCTTTCTCTGTTAAAATTGCACCTGATAATGAATATGCAAAAGTTGGACTTAACAATAGCTTAATAAAAAATCAGGTTACTGTTGAATGTATGTTATGTAATTACCGGGTAAGATTTGATCAAAATTGACATAAATATATTAATCTCAAATGGATTACAAGACCATTCTTAAAAATAATTCAATTAATTACTGTGAAAGAAAGAGCCAGTTAATAAAGCCCTGCTGGTTCAGAGATTTTAACAGTAAGTAGAATAATTTTCATGTAAGCAAGCGGTGGTGATAACTAGCCCAGTCATTTATTAATTTATTTAATGAAAAAATTATTTTTTCGGCGAGCAAGTGACGGTGATAAGTAGCTCTACCATTTATTAATTAACTTAATAAATATGTAACTTTATTGGCAAGCGAGCGGTACCAATAATTAATTTGGCGATTTATTAGTTTATTCGACAGATAAACTTTTTTTTTGACGAGCAAGCGATGACAACGAGTAGCTCATCTTTTTGATCGATTATTAAGTTAATAAATTCATTCTTTGGCAAGCAAGTAGTGGCAATAAGTAAATTAGCTGTCAATGAGCTTATTTGGTAAATTAATTATTTGGTAAATTATTAATTTTTTTGGCGAGCAAGCAATCGCAGTTCATAGCTCAGCTATTTATCAATTAAGTTAAAAAATAAAGTATTCAATTGGGGTGCAAGAAATGCCAATAACAAGCCCAGCTATTTCTAAGTTCATTGAATACATAATTTTTTGCTGAGCACGACAGCATTGAATAACTTATCTGTCTATTAATAATAACACAGTATAAAAAATTGGTTATTGGAGCATGATTTTATTTTCACAACTAATATAAAAGCCAATATTTCGATGTCATGCTGACGTCATCCTCAGGGCAACTAACAAAATATATAAACAATCACAAATACATAATATCCAAAACAAATTATAAATTACTAAGAAAAGTTTAATATAATTACCAATGTAAGTGTTAGGATAACACGTGGCATTGCAAACGGATCAAAAATTATTAGTACATAATGATCAGTGTGAAGAAATTACATTTAATAAAAAGATTTTTGCTCTCACGAGGAACATAGTCAGAAACATTAAAATGCAAGATTATAAACTTAATATAAGAAAGTAAATGCATTTGTGAAATATGTAACAAGGTAAACTGTAAGTACTATAGTGAGGAAAAATCAAGGATGTTAAACTACCAATGAAATGTGTGTAAAACGTATAAAACTTATTGAGCGTATGAAAATGTATAATACACGTGTAAAAAGACTTAATATTGTTTTCGCATAACTTTTCGCTTAATATCTTGTAAAAAATTTTTGTAAGAGACATTCAGTTTGTTAGTATTAATCCGTCTATTTACATTATTATCATAAACAAAAATATGTATCATTTCAGAAAATTCGTGTTTAAATCTATTCTTTTGTCGGTCCAAAACTCTAACATTATTAAAATCAAATGTATGTTAAAATTGTATTGAATAAGAAGCAATGGCAGATTTATTATCATGGTTTTTAACCATTCGTAAGTGTTCACTTATACGAATGCCAAGCAGTGTCTTACTTTGACCCACATAGCAAACACCGCATTCACACAGAAATAAATAAACTATGCCCCCCTTTTGAAGTGTAGGAGTTTTATCTTTACCTAATCGTATGATATCAGTAAATTAACATGAATTGGAAAAAATTACTCTATTATAAGAACTTTCTAAGCACTGAAAATACGGAAATACAATAAAAGGTGTTCTAGAACAAGAATTGTGGTTCTCTAAACGGCACCGGTCACAATCAGGTGTTGAGTCCTTAGATTTGTTGAACAATCTATTAAGAAAGCTAATTCTCGCTTTGATGTATTTTTCAACAAAATAACCTGGATAAACATTCTCAGCAAGAACCCTCCTAACCTCACAAATGTTTTTGGTCCTGAAACAAGGATCAGCCAACTTAAAAACTTTGTCAATCAAAGAATAAACGATAGCTCTCTTCTGACAAACAGGATTATGCGAATAAAAAATTAATAATCGTCCAAAAGAAGATGATTTTTTATATAGATCAAACGAGCAAAGAGAATCAAGAGTACGTGTAATTAAAATGTCTAAAAATGGAATTGAATTATTTGTCTTTCTCTCTACTGTAAACTGTAAATATGGATTATGATTGTTAAAGCGGTTTAAAATGTATTAGATATGTTCTGTTTTTATAGTTAGGAGACAATCATCTACATAGAGCATATAGGAAAGAATGGAATCTCCAGTGTACCTTGTTACATATTTCACATATGCGTCTACTTTCTTATATTTAGTTTATGGTCTTGCATTTTAATGTTTCTGACTATGTTCCTCGTGAAAGCAAAAATTTTTTGATTAAATGAAATTTCTTCACGATAATCATTATGTACTAATAATTTATGCTCCGTTTACAATGCCACGTGTTATCCTAACACTTACATTGGTAATTATATTAAACTTTTCTTAGTAATTTATGATTTGTTTTGGATATTATGTATTTATGATTATTTATATATTTTGTTAGTTGCCCTAAGAATGACGTCAGCATGACGTCAAAATATCGGCTTTTATGTTAAGAAGTTTTACCTTTGATATCTATTTATTAGTTTATTTCATAATCAAATTAATTTTTTGGTGTGCAAGTGACGGCAACGAGTAGCTCAGCTTTTTAGTAGATTATTTAGTAGATAAATTCATTCTTCGGCGAACAAGTGGTAGCAGTAAGTAGCTCAGATTTGTATTACATTATTTGATAAATCGATTATTTGTTTGATAAGCAACTGTCAGCAAGTAGTAGCTTACCTTAGTTTTCGTTTGTTGAATTGATAAATTATTGTTCTTGTGAGCAAGTGGAGGCAATTAGTAGCTCAGCTATTTATTAGTTTATTTTACAATAAATACGTTTTTTGGTGAGTGAGTCACAGCAATAAGTATATTAGCAATTCTTAAGTTTATTTGATAATTACATTATTTTTTTATCAATAAGCAAGTGGCAGAACGTTTTAATTTAGGTAATAATTAGTTTATTGGATAGATACATTTTCCGATTAACGAGCAAGCGGTAAAAATAAGTACCTAAGCCTTTTTTTTAGTTGAATTGATAAATAATAAATTTTTTTTGTGACAAACCGATGGCAAAAAGTAACTTATCTATTACTTAGATTTATCAAGGAGATACATTATTTCTTCAGCGAGCAAGTGCCGGAAATAAGAAGTTAAGCTATTTGGTTATTTATTTAATGAATAATTCATTTGTTTGGCGAGCGATCGACGGCCTTACATAAAATCATTTACATAATAGCTTATTTGTCAAATATATTAATTTTATGGTGATTAAAAGGCACCAATACACAGCTGAACTATCTCTTGGTTTACT